AAATAAACATATATATATATATATATATATATATATATATATATATATATATATATATATATATATATATGATCAATTTATTGATCATTCTGGCTCCTCTTCATGTAAAGGGGATTTGCAATGTTTCTGTGCCTGGTGTTGATGAGGATATTTCACTGGTTGCAAGGGATACTTAGTGAGGGTCTCATGTACTGGGGGTTGGAAGGCATGAGGCAATAAACGCAAATGTGTCAAGTGTTGTCGCCTCAATTGTTCCTTTTGGAAGCTTGTTCCAGTCCTTGATTGTCTTTGGAAGGAATGAACAGTTGGTAGGATCGCTGGTAGGATCTGGAACTGCCTGTCAAGGCCTCGTCACTGTCTATGGGGGAGAGGGACGAGTTTCTGCTTAATGCTGGAGCAGTGGACCAGCCCATTATTTATCTAGTACATCATGGAGAGCCTGGATGGTCGTCGTCATTCTTCCAATGGTGACCAGCCCAGTTTCCAGCATGCTGCCAACACTAGAGGTATTCCTGTAGTGGTTCAAGACAAAGCTTGCTGCTCGTCGCTAGACCGCCTCCAACCTGCCGATGGTCTTCTGGGTAAATGGGTCCCAGACTGAAGATGAATAATATAAAATCGGCCGGATAAAGGCTTTATAGGCTCTTTCTTTCACACAGGAGTTGCCGATCTTTAGATTACGCCTTAAGAACCCCAGGGTATTTTTTTGACTGATTGCACACATTGTTAATATGCTCGTCCCATCAGACCTCTCTTTGAATGGTAACACCCAGGTATCTTAGCGAGGAAACTTGCTCAGGTATATTGCCATGCAGTTCGTAATGGTAGTGTAGAGGAGTTACTACTTCTAGAGACTAACGGTGTCTGGCACTTGGCCGGATGAAATTCCATGTCCCAGCTCATCTCCCACTCAGCTAATCGATTGAGATACTGTTGTACCTGTTGCTGATCGTCCTATACTGATGTTATAGATCTGAAAATGTTTATAAAGCTTTGCCATAAAATTAACGAAATATGTGTTAATCATTTTTTCAGAAATACGTTCAGCTATTTAGTAAAGGACCATGGGGAAAGGGTGGGTAATTTTTTAACAGAATACCAATATCTTAAAATCAAAAGATTTTTCAGACGTGAAATTCGGAATTTAAATTATTATTATTTTGTTTATTTGTTTGTTAGAGGAATTAAATATTTTGAATTTCCCGAAAATACAATTTAGAGGCACTAAAATTAGATGTGGGGTATTTGCTATAAGGATGCTAAAATCTCAAAATCATAAAATTTTACAGACGCAGAAAATATTAAAAATTATCTTACTTTAAAAAAAGTTAAATTTTGTATTTATTATTAATTAGTTCAGTAGCGAGTAAAAATTGTTCATTAATGAGGATATAGACATTTTGAAAATTTTCAACAGGCCATTTCAAAACTAGTTTCAATGTTTGAATCAGTTGCCTCTGTGAATCAACATTCACTACACAGGATATCCAATTTTTAATGTACATTCTGTGTCAGAGATGAGGTGTGCCTTGAGTACAAGAATGGAACCCAAAGTTATACAGTTTTTACTGAATCTTAATCTCAAATTTCGTATCAATTTATCCTAGTAAATCATTTAAAAGTTCATTTTTTTAAAATTTAAATTATTGATTACTGATATTTTATGATTCATAAATATTGTTGCAAATTTTTACTTTTTATTCGCAGAACTATAGTTTTTTTATTTTAAAAAAAATTGTCCACCAAGACTTCGGTACATATTAATGAGAAACAATTTGTGTAAATAAAAAAAATTAAGGTTCAATTTTAATAATGATTATATAGAATACAAATGTAGACGTTTCGGCAAACGCCTTCGTTAGTACAACAACACAATTAAAAAAAATTAAAATCATTCATATAAGTATAATTTATAATTATTTATGTATTTATTTACACACACACACACACACGCATATATATATATATATATATATATATATATATATTTCTATGAAGGTATGTATCCTACTTGAAAATGAAAAAAGAAAAAGAATAAGAATGGGCACAAGTCCCTTGAAAAAACAAAGCTCGGAAGAATGGAAAGGAGGTTAGGGGAAGTAAAATTTAAAAACCAAACTTTGATATCATTAAAAACATGACTTGGTCGTCAATAATTTTCAAAAAAATCTTTCAGTTGTTTTCGATCCTCAAAAGATACATTCAAAAACTAATATCCCAGTTTCCAAGTGACCATATTGTTATTAATTTTTTAAAGGGGGGACCCTTATATCGGCGTAATGTATTTTCTCTTTATAAATGAACACCTGGGATCTTTTACGATCTTTGTCATTACCATTAACGGATGAGGTGTCCTATATCTAATGACCTGCGACAGATTCTTACCGGCACGATACAGGTGTTCCTGAACTCACTTATAGAACAGGACAACAAGGGCCTTCAAGTGATCTATGCTCAGTTTAATCACACACGATTGTATGACCATGCTGTGACAGTCGGTACTCTAGCAGGTCATTGGCTCTACGATTCGTTACTTTATTCTGAAATGAACAAACATCTCTTCTTATAGCATGTTATAAAAAAAGAAAACTACATGTAATGTGAAAATATGCACAGAACTGTTCCCCACAACAAACGCCAGGCCCACCTCATTTTTACAAACACAACCAACAACAACCTTCACAACGAACACCCTCCACAACAACACCCTCCACAACGAACACCCTCCACAACGAACACCCTCCACAACGAACACCCTCCACAACGAACACCCTCCACAACGAACACCCTCCACAACCAACAAAAACCTCCACAACGAACAACCCAACTCACAAACCCCCCCCCCCCCCAAAAACCAAAAAACCCCCCTTGGCATGTTTTAGCATGTTACTCCACAACCAACACCCTCCACAACCAACACCCTCCACAACGAACACCCTCCACAACCAACAAAAACCTCCACAACGAACAACCCAACTCACAAACCCCCCCCCTCCCAAAAATCAAACAACTCCCTTTGGCATGTTTTAGCATGTTACCAGGGGATCAGATAATAGGGTAGTTGATGGGGTCAGTATTATGGTTGTTGATGGGATCAGATAATACGGTAGTTGATGGTATCAAATAATAGGGTAGTTGATGGGATCAGATAATAGGGTAGTTGAATTTAACATCTTTATTGTTTCCCTTTCAAACCAGTAGGAAGACGCAATTATTGTATAAAAATAAATATTTTAAAATTAACAGTAAAAACTGGAATCCCTCCCCCTTTTATAAAAAATTAAGATTGAACAAGTCTACCATGAAATAAATCCATGATGGGATCAGAATATAATTTTTTTTTTATAAAAAAAAAAAAGACAAAAACCCAAAAAAAACTTGTTTGATGAAATAAGTCTTCGTGTGGGATATTTATAATGCTGCGTATCTCTTGATAAACGTGAGTATCATAAATGATCACCATCCAGTTCTATTTTTAGTTTCAGGAGGTCCACCGCCGCACGACATTGTCCACTGGTTAGTTTTATGATGGTGGCAGGTCTTATATAAGAGATGGACATTTAACGAATGAAGTACGTCAGTGTTCAGCAACCTTGTGGGCCTACACGTCATTTACATCATTGAATATGAAGACCTTTGGAGTGTTCGTCTGCTTGTTTGGTCAGTTCTTCGTAGACGTTTAAAACATTTTTATCAAAGTTACAATAGTGTAGTCTTGTAGTAGGTATAGATTTTATTTTAAATACTATTTACAAGTTGTGAAGGGAAGTTAGGTGAAAACAAAAGAAAATGGGCGAAAAAAAGAGGATGGACAAACATGAAAAAAGGGACGCAACAACTAAAAAAAAAATATGTCTCTGCAAGAAGCCTTCTTCAGCGAATAAACAACAGTAAAAAGAATTCTAAATAAAATAATAAACACTTGGCTGTGATGTAGTATCTGAGAGGAGAGCAAGAAAAAAGATCGCCATGGTAAAAATTAATTGAAAAAAATAAAACAAGGAATCCCAATAATCAAGTGAAAAGTGCATGTCAGTTTTTTCCGTAAGATTTGATTAAATTGCTATTTTTATTTATTATCAAACAACAATGATGAGATCTTATGAAAAGGTAAGGGCTAACACATGCTGATACACATTTAATTTGAGCCCGGTCTTAAATGCTGGACCGAAATGATTGGATGTTTCAGACGGAGTTTGCGGGTATTACTCAGTAATGACACAATTCCATTCATGACTAGCGTTTCAAAATGAACAGAGACATATGGTCTGGTTAACAGCAACATTTCTGACACCATTAAACTGCTTCTTAAGAGCAATAACTCACATCTTCTAACATCTTGTTTAGCGCAAAGTTTATGACATCATTAAACATCTTGTTAAGAGAAATATCTCAAATCGTAAAAACATTTTTGTTGTGCAGCCATGGTTTTGGCGGAGGACGACCTGGACAAGAGGATTGTCAACGGTGAGAAAGCCGAGCTGTACGCCTGGCCACACCAGGTTTCACTTCAGTTGTACCAGGCACCCTATGGCTGGTATCACATTTGTGGCGCTGTTCTCATTGGACCAAACAAGGTGAGTGATGTTCCAGGTCTTTTAAAAATTAGATTTACAAAATCAATCTAAATTTTTTATAACAATTTGGAAATACAACACAACACAATAAAAAAAAGCACAAAGTATTTTTATACTGTAATTCAGTTAAAACAATTTTTTTTTTCATTTTGAATTTTGATCCCCCCCCCCCCCAACAAATTTTCTTTTGTGATTTAAAAATGTAGTTCACATTTCCATTGTGGGGGCATCTAATAAAAAATTGCTTATTTTATCGATAATAGGTTTTAGATAATTAAACATTTCTTTTGGGTGGTGACTAATAAAGGGATGTGACCGTATCAACAATTTCAATTTATCAATTCTGCACATTTCAAGCTCCAGACCGATCTGAATGTTTTTAATTCATTGTTAGTTTCATTTTCAATCTTTAAAAATATTTATCTGGACTGGTGACGTAACACACTTGTTCTTTGTTCTATTTTCATGTGTGTCATAGTTTAGAATGCCTAAGTCTGTCTAGTTACATGACCGGTTCGTAACTCATGTATATCTGACCTTGGTAGAGATTTCCACTATTTAAGTCTAACTCCGAAAAAAAAATCATTCAACGTTAGAAGACTCATTCGTCTGATGTTTTCTGTTTAACTAAAAACAAATGTTCAAAAGATCCTTATCTAAAACGCCACCATTTGAACACAGGTCCTGACGGCTGCTCACTGCATCGATGGGCAGCAGGCCCGTAACCTGCGCGTGGAGGTCGGAGTCTTGAATCTCTACGATCCTCCCAACGCCTACGAGCAGACCGTCTCTGTGTCTTCCATCATCATGCACCCCCAGTACAACGGGAACGCCAACGGCTATCCCAACGACATTGGGATCATCTACCTGAGCGGTCCAGTCACATACAACAAGAACGTGCAGGTATGTCAACGAGAATCTATTGCCAACTCAATGTTGACTCATATTATTGTAGAAACTTTCAAAACACAAGCATTGAAATATTTATATCTATAGATGTTCATCTGAAAACAACACAATATAAACTGAATTTACTCCCAACTTTACAACCTCATTTGAACGTTTCATTCAGCTCATTCAGGTATTTCAAATATAGCGTTAGAGAACGACTGAAAGAATTTTCTGGTTCCGGTCGAAACCGTAACGAAACCGTAAGTTAAATATGACTTTCGGTCAAAACTGAAAATAAACCGAGAGATAACTTTTCTGTTTCATCCGAAAACGAAAATACGCTGAAAGAGATCATATGGCAATTTTCGGCGACGAACCTAAAACCGAAATTCGGTCAACCTCTAGAAAAAAAAATATTTGAAATCCTTAGACCCAGTAAAGTTCTCAAGAGTAAAATAATGACATTTCCCACCCCCCCCCCCATGCACTTTTTTCCAGCCCGCTGCATTGGCTCCACAAGGTTCCAGTTTTGCCAACATAAAACCGAAATTCGGTCAACCTCTAGAAAAAAAAATATTTTAAAACCTTAGACCCCGTAAAGTTCTCAAGAGTAAAATAATGACATTTCCCCCCCCCCCCCCCATGCACTTTTTTCCAGCCCGCTGCATTGGCTCCACAAGGTTCCAGTTTTGCCAACAGACAGTGCGTCATCACTGGATGGGGTCGTACCGTCGGAGGTGGAAGTGGGGCATCTCACCTGAAACAGGCTTACATCACCAAGATCACAACCGCACAATGCAGATCTTACTGGGGTGCCTCTGTCACTGACAAACACATCTGTGTCTTCGAGGCTTCCGGTAGGTGGCTTGATGAGCTATATGTTAACAAAATGCACTGTGTAGGAATATACGTGAAGATTTTCACCGTAAATATGGTTTTCATTTTTAGAAGTAAAATATAGTTTCTATTTGTCAACAGTTTCAAAATGATTTTTATCTCAAATAAATTTATTGATATACTTTAATAACAATTTAGATGCATATTCTCGCTTCACTGTCTGTTATCTTTGCACAAATATTTGTTGATATGGTGATTCGCGTTTCTGTATTGCTGTCAGACAAAAATTGCATTTTCACCAGTGAGGCTACCTTGGGCCAATCACTGTTTAGTGGAAACCTCGGAAAGATAATGTGTAGCTCTTGTCATTAAATGATGTCTCAAAGCTTACATGATTTCTTGCACAGACCCAGCCGGTACTCGTCCAAGTGCTTGCAATGGTGACAGTGGTGGCCCAATGATGTGTGGCAACAACTACGGTCTTCTCGCTGGTGTCACCTCCTGGGGTGTCAGCTCTTGCAGCGGTAGGTTTGATTGTTTCAAAACTATTACAGTTATGTAATAAAGTAATAAAGAGTAATAAAGAAAGTTCAATGTAACATAATATCTAAAAAATGCCTAAAATAATCGAAAAAATTATTAAACTGACGAATACAACATAGATGCAAAAAATAATAATAATAATAATCGATGTCGTCACCTCCCTGGGGGTCATCTCTTGTAATTACGAGTGTAATTTTGTATATCTAAGTACATAAAATCAATATATCACGTGATCGCCTTTTATTTTTATCATTGTTGAGTAACCTAATAATTTCCCTTTGTTCCCATAGGTGACTATCCAAGTGTATACACTCGTGTGTCCGAGTATCTGGATTGGATCAACTCCCGTTAATTCCAAAATGTGGATACATGATAAGAGTGGCTACATGATAAGAGTGGATACATGATGGTCTATCACAATCATTGTTGACATTTGTTCTGTACTTTCAGTGCCAAATAAAAAAAATATTTATAAACCTGTGTTTGTAATTATAGGATTATTTTACAGGAATTAAAATAATATATTATTTCATTAGAATTTCCACTAAAACGTCCAGAAACATAAAAAAAAATTGAAGTGAAAGGCTGTAAGGATTTTTTTTTCTAACTTTAAGCGTCGGACGCTAAATTCACAGTGATATTTTACACATTTTGAAATTTGTTCACAAAAAAATTGGCAAAATCAATCGACAAGCTCTAGTTTCTTTGCATGAACACCCAAATTAAATGTGAAGATTTGCCCGATGCTGTTTCTACTTGGTCTCCTAGGTCTATAGGGTATGCACGTTCTACTAGGTCTATTGTGTCGACTATGTCTACTGGATCTACTTGGTCTACTAGGTCTAGGGGATCTACTAGGTCTACTTGGTCTACTGAGTCTACTAGGCCTACAGGGTCTGCTAGGTCTACTGCGTCTAATGGGTCTATATAGGTTTCCAAGGTCTACAATGTCTAATAGGTCTATTGGGTCTAAAGGATCTATTAGGTCTATTTGGTCTACTAGGTCTACTGAGTCTAATGGGTCTACTAAGTCTACTGGGTCTATTTGCATGGTCTACTGGTTCTTCTAGGTCTACTGGTTCTTTTAAGTCTACTGGCTCTTCTAGGTCTACTGGGAATTCTAGGTCGATGCATTTATCCCCATATTGACCACAACTTAAATGTCTGTGCGTGCTTTTTATTCATTACTATTAGTATATACACTTATTATAATCATTGTACGAATTGTCTTAATGCGTGCGAGGCATCAGGTAAAACCTCGTTTACCCGAACACATCAAAGAAGAGCGTGAAGGAAAAGTCTGGTTAAGCTCCAAAATCGAATCAGCAGAAAAAATAAAATGTTTGGACTGGTTGGCATCGCTGTGAAGCAGAAACATGTTGAACTATGCATTCTATTGCAAACGCAATTATTTTTAGAGAAGATGACGACTTAAATTTCGCGTCCAACTTAACTTGAAAAATGATTATGGAGAAATTAAAATATTTTTAAAAAACATTTTGAAGCTTAGGTTGAGAGAAGGTAGAGTTTGAGGTAATGCTGAAAGAGAGTGTGTGTGTGGGGGGGGGGGGGGGTCCAGTGNCGTTGTCAGTGTACACATAAAAGTAGGGTCCTAAAGCGTTGTCAGTGTACACATAAAAGTAGGGTCCTAAAGCGTTGTCAGTGTACACATAAAAGTAGGGTCCTAAAGCGTTGTCAGTGTACACATAAAAGTAGGGTCCTAAAGCGTTGTCAGTGTACACATAAAAGTAGGGTCCTAAAGCGTTGTCAGTGTACACATAAAAGTAGGGTCCTAAAGCGTTGTCAGTGTACACATAAAAGTAGGGTCCTAAAGCGTTGTCAGTGTACACATAAAAGTAGGGTCCTAAAGCGTTGTCAGTGTACACATAAAAGTAGGGTCCTAAAGCGTTGTCAGTGTACACATAAAAGTAGGGTCCTAAAGCGTTGTCAGTGTACACATAAATGTAGGGTCCTGTCAAAAACACTTCACTTAATTACCAGACAATATTTTTTGTTCCTATAAAAAGCAAGATTTATAGTAACTCTTGTAAACATTCAATTTGGAGCCAATCCCTTTTCGGTCGATATTCAAGCTGATCAGTTGACGGGAAGGGTGCCATTTAGCCGCCCGAAGAATTTTGCCAGTCGGTCAACGAACAAAAGCAAAGTCAATATGAAAGATTTAAAAAATAATCGTTAATGATTAATGAATATAAAATTTAGTGTCCTGCACACCAAGGAACGTCACGAGATTGATGAATCTGCATTACATCTCAACGCATTTCAGTGCACTCCAAGGAACGTCACGAGATCGATGAATCTGCATTACATCTCAACGCATTTCAGTGCACGGGTGAGCTTCATTGTCCAAACTCGAAGGCCCCAAGCATTCTTTGATATTTAAGTGAGCGTCAGTTGGTTTACACTCGTGTTTTAGCTTCTACTGTGTGACGTGGAAAGTGTATTTACAGTAATGAAAACTGATGTCACGCTCTAGTCAAGCGCTCCACGCTCCATATACTTGTACACGCTTATAGATAAACATCCTACATTAATTAATTGTTACACGGGAAAGTGCTTCGTTAGCCAGGTTCCGCCAGTAGTGTGCTAACATTTATCTTGATCGTCTGGCCCTAATTTTGAATGAAATACGAAACATTGTACCCTTAAAAATGTTTTCTTGAATTTAACTTATTATTTCTTAAATTTTCTTATAGCCGAATAAGAGTGGGTGGAGTGGTTATTCAGTAAGATGTACTTATGGTGCTGTGATTGATTAGAACTCAAACGTTATTTCTTCCCTGAACTGACAAGGAAGATCTATTAATCCATTTTAAGAACTATAACTAATCCATAAAGTGACAAACAACCATCTTCGCCTTTGGATCAAAGTAACTGACCTCTTAAAAAGATTTGACATCCCCTCCCTCAAAGACAGACGGGAAAAGCTCCGTCTAACATTTCTCTAAAAAGTGGTCATGGGGCTGGTGCCGGCCATCCCAGCTAACACGTATCTCACCCCAAAGAAGCCATGTCGCTTAATCAGAGCCAAACGCTATCTAAACACTGACTTCACCTCTGACAACCCCATGAGGAGTTACATCCGGAACAATAGCAAATGCTTCACTGTGCCTCGATGTAACACAGTGTAATATAAACAATCATTTTTTCTCCACGATCGACACTCGCTTGGAACCACCTGGACAATGCCGCCGTGGACTCGACATTAATCGAAATCTTCAAGGCTGCCCTGGCATCCGCTAGGAGCCGTTATGATAGCAGCATCGCTTCCCCAACCGTTGCACATATGCCAATGCATGGATTCAGCAACGTACCCTACCAGAACCAGAACTTTAGTTTTGACGGCATATACTTAATATTAACGGATTACGATGGTTTTAATCCCAGAGAAAAGAAGATTAAATGTAGAGACCGACCGATTTTCGGCTTCGGTTTCGGCACTGAAACAGGCCATTTGATCACTTTCGGCCTAATTTCGGTTTCAGCCGAAACCAAAAAGTTAAATTTCGGTTTAATTTCGGCTTCGGCCTAAAACTGAAATATTAACTTTCGGTTTAATTTCGGTTTCGGTCGAAAGTGACTGGGGTTTTCGGTCAGCTACCAGAGGTATCCGATATTCATTATTGCTAGAGGTCTTGCTGTCATCGTATGTTATTTAACTATTACTCTGCGAAAACTGCTCACAGCTGCATAATGACATACTTGTCTTTTATTTACGAAAATTTAGTTTTAATTAGGCTTAGGTAAATGTAAATAGTTTTGTGTAAGAAAAACTAGAGGAATTGTAATATTTTATATCATTATTTTTGTTTTAATTTTGTCAAAAATAAAATGTGGAACCCTGGGTTTATTCAGCTCCATCATTGGTGATAATCATTTTGATTTATCATTATCATGCTCATCAATTTTGTCATAGGCAAAGGTGAATAATACTACATAATCCTAGGGAATGGTAATATTTCTCGTATTTTGTTTTTTATTTTCTTTGTTTAAAATAAGGAAACCTAGGCTTTTCAATTCATTTATTTCTTGAAATGCATCATTATCATGCTCATAAACATTGTTATTGACGAAATAACAAGTACGTGCACAAATAAATGGCTTGTGTTATAATTATGTAGTAGGCCTACTGCGGACCTGTTTATTTTTATGATTTAGGCGACCAATTTAGATGTCCTTCGATTCTCCGCCGAGGCCCGTCAGAAGAACTATTTTAAGAGACCCGGTTGAAAGAAATAATTATTTCCCCCACCAAGGGAGGTAAGGGAAGTTGGTCACCGAACGAAATCTTTACGCGAGAAGCACGGTAAGACTAATGTGTTGGTACTAGGTTAAATATTAATACAGTGATATCTTGTCAGCTATTTATGAAAACACAAAACATTGGTATGACGAAAACCGCGAAACATTGTGGTGCTATTTCTATAGCCTTAAAGCTAATATTTAGGTGACAATTGGCTTTATTAGAGCCACAATAATTATTATACTATAATTACAATCTAGAACATATACCTATAATTTATAGGTATATGTTCTAGATTGTAATTATATTATAAAAGAAAAGGGCAATTAACAGTCTATTTTGCATGAATTTTGCTTCTTTCCCCCCCCCTTTTTTTTTTTTTTTTTTTTTTTTTATTAATTTTTCCCCCCCCCCCCCCCCGGTCCATATTTTCTCTTATTATACTACTTTTAAAAAAAAAAAAAAGAAATTTAAATTACGTTTAAATTAAAATAGTACAAGCCAAAGTATTCATTAAAAGTTTATTTATAAATATTCACGATGATCTCATTTTTTAAAAAAAATGTCAATAGTGATACTTTCCCACCATATTTTTTTTTTGATGCATGTAGAATGAATGCGTGGAAGAATGTTAACTTTCGGTTTCGGCCAAAAGTCATTTTCAAATTTCGGCCTTGTTTCGGTCGAAATCATAAATCACTTTAGGTCGGTCTCCTAATTAAATGATAATAATATGAAGACCCAATACATGGTCGTCTATAGCGATACTTGGAAAGTTTCAATAGTGTACACGTGAAGCTGTCCACCTTACAGTATGACGTTCTTCGAGCTTTGTTGTCAAGCCAGATGTTGTAGTAATAGGAGCAGGTTACTGCTGCAAATATGTACAGCTTTCAGACACTTTCATTGTTACAATAGATTTCACTCTGAAATTAAGACGTTATTTTCTTTGGAAATTTCTTAACCAAAAAATACTAAAAACTATTTATTTGAGAGGCGTGGAAAAAGATTAGGTACTTTTTTTATATGATAAAGTTATCTCAATACAGGATGATGTCACAGAGCGGAAAAATTAGTATAAAGATTTGTCTTTAAAATAAGGAAATATGTGTTAATCAATTTCCGAAACTACATTCAGCTGTAATGGGGTAAGGCTGGGTAATTGTTTAACAGAATACTTAAGTCTTAAGACCCGATTTTGTTAAAGACGTGAAATTCGGGATTTAAATTCTTTTTTTTTTTTTTTTGAAACAAGTATTTAAATATTTTACCTTTCTCAAAAAATACAGTTTAGAGCCCTGACTTTAGGGGTGATGTATTTGTTACGACGATTCTAATATCTGAAAATTATAAAATGTTACAGATGTGGAAATTAGTAAAAAAAAATATCTGACATAAAAATATAAATATTTAAATTCTTTTTTTTTTTTTTTTGAAACAAGTATTTAAATATTTTACCTTTCTCAAAAAATACAGTTTAGAGCCCTGACTTTAGGGGTGATGTATTTGTTACGACGATGCTAATATCTGAAAATTATAAAATGTTACAGATGTGGAAATTAGTACAAAAAAATATCTGACCTAAAAATATAAATTATGTATTTAATAAATGCTGGGTGTGTGTGAACCAGGGGCGTCCTTTCAGTTTTGTTCAGAGGTTTGGGGGGCGGGAAAGGGGGGGGGCAAAACCAAAACTTGGTCGGCTTAATAAGTTGTTTATTACTGGAGGTGCTACAGAACATAGCAATTTAAATAAAACCTGCAAATTCAAAAGGGGGGGGGGCAAATGCCTCAACCTGCCCTAACCAAATGACGCCCCTATGTGAATCCCCCTTCTACGTCCCCTAAGACGCAAGACCCAATTTCTCAATGGCCATATGTCATGTAAAGTGTCACATATATTATGTTACTCGACATACATTGTCGGTCACAACAACACCACTGAGAATATCGTCAGCAACCCTTGGGAGGATCATAAAATTGAAGAACCAGCGGTGAGGTCAACGCAAGGGAATTCAACAGATGCTTCGGAGTGGCTACAGGTACGTCCTTTTTATCCTCAAACTATTTCCCGTTGGTCTGACACCTCAATGTAATTGTGTTTAAGGTCTTTAATCTGTTTAAGTGATGCGAGCGAGGAATAAGATTGGGAACAGAATTTATGGAATTTATTGATGTCTCTGTCCTCTATTTTAACATTTAAATTTAATGTTAAATCTACCAAAACTTTGAATATCCTCAACGAGCAAAGTGGACAATTTCTTTGGACAATGAGCTTTCATAAATCGTTGGTGTGCCTGCTGTGATAACAAACACAGATACACACACTGAAACAAACACATACAAACACATACAAACACACACAAACAAACAAAATAAAAACAATAAATTTATCAAAGTCATTGAAAATTAAGCAATAATTATGTTGTTTTTTTATCAAATGAAAGATGAAGAACATACAGCTCACATAACTAACATAACAAAACATGGGATCAAGAACCATACGACTTGCAGCTGCTCATTATATTTCTTCGAAGTCAAAGTTCAATAATAGACAAAATAGGTTTCTTTAGGTCATGACTCGCCTGACTGTTGAGCTGATGTGGATCAAATCAAAAAAGAGTTGAGAACCTCCCTACTAAAGTTTGCGAGCGTGTCCAACGTCTAAATAAAAACTCCAGCTGATGTTTCAAAGGTTCAGTCATCGAAGACTTTCATTGGTTACTTACGATATTGTCTGCCGAAGACTTTCATTGGTTACTTACGATATTGTCTGCCGAAGACTTTCATTGGTTACTTACGATATTGTCTGCAAAATGAAAACAGTCACGGTCTTCCTCTGTCTTATGGGTGAGTTGGTGATTTGTTGAGTTGGTGAATTGGTGATTTGTTGAGTTGGTGAATTGGTGATTTGTTGAGTTGGTGAATTGGTAATTTGTTGAGTTGGTGAATTGGTAATTTGTTGAGTTGGTGAATTGGTAATTTGTTGAGTTGGTGAATTGGTAATTTGTTGAGTTGGTGATTTGTTGAGTTGGTGATTTGTTGAGTTGGTGAATTGGTAATTTGTTGAGTTGGTGAATTGGTAATTTGTTGAGTTGGTGAATTGGTGATTTGTTGAGTTGGTGAATTGGTAATTTGTTGAGTTGGTGAATTGGTAATTTGTTGAGTTGGTGAATTGGTAATTTGTTGAGTTGGTGAATTGGTGATTTGTTGAGTTGGTGAATTGGTAATTTGTTGAGTTGTTGAATTGGTGAATTGTTGAGTTGGTGATTTGTTGAGTTGGTGATTTGTTGAGTTGGTGAATTGGTGATTTGTTGAGTTGGTGAATTGGTGATTTGGTGAATTTGTGAGTTGGTGATTTGTTGAGTTGGTGAATTGGTGATTTGTTGAGTTGGTAAATTGGTGATTTATTGAGTTGGTGATTTGTTGAGTTGTTGAATTGGTGATTTTGTGAGTTTTTGGTGTTCGGAGCGCACAGCTAATGTAGGGGGAAACATCCAAATGTCAGTTTGTAATTCTTTAAAAAAAAAAAATTAAGATGAGATTCATTGACACATAACACCACCGGCAAACAAGATGGCAGTTAATTTAAAGACATGAATCAAAAAAAGTATCCGTCACAGTTAAAAATGATTCGCTTTAAATTATAAAAAGTTTTTTTTTGTTTTAATGAATTAAAAATAATAACATGTTTGTCGTCTGTCCCACAGCCGTTGTATTGGCCGAGGATGGTCTGGACAAGAGGATTGTCAACGGCGAGAAAGCCGAGTTGTATGCCCACCCACACCAGGCTTCACTTCAACTGTACCAGGACCCGCACGGGTGGTATCACATTTGTGGCGCTGTCCTCATCGGAACAAACAAGGTCGGTGAATTTCTGACACAAATCTACCGCGGATGGGTTATTGGGGGCAATTCTTATTCACGCAATTAGACGCCTTGGTTAGTGGTTAGGAGGTTGATCCGACAAAGGCCATCGCAGCGCCAGAGCGAGATCTTCCAAAGCCAAACAGGATTTAAAGTAAGCGGCTACGGTTGGTCCATAATGAGCTCGTGTGAAGATCAAAGACCACGCACACCGTATAGACTCACCATACGTGTTCTTCTTTCCACAGTAGACTCACCATAAGTGTTCTTCTGTCAATCTTAGACTCACCATAAGTGTTCTTCTGTCAATATTAGACTCACCATAAGTGTTCTTCTGTCAATATTAGACTCACCATAAGTGTTCTTCTGTCAATATTAGACTCACCATAAGTGTTCTTCTGTCAATATTAGACTCACCATAAGTGTTCTTCTGTCAATATTAGACTCACCATAAGTGTTCTTCTTTCATAGACTCACAATACATGTGCTTCTGTCCCTATTAGACTCTCAATAAGTGTTCTTCTTTCAAAACTAGAATCTAAATAAGAGTGCTTATGTACTAATATGACTCATTAGAACTGTGTCCAGTCTTGACTCCAACAAAAACCCGACTCTAATAAGAGGGCGCATGCCGAGACAAACTAAGAAAATGGGTTCGTTTAGTGCGATACACAACCCTGATAATTTTTTCAGACTTTGGACTTCGTTACTGCAGCCCTGGTTGGCACGATACACACCTGGTTGACACGTGCAACTGTGGTTGACATGGTGTAGCCTGGTTGACACGATAAAAAAATCTGATTGACACGTGGCGACCCTGGTTGACACCTTTCTTGAAACGCTAAAAACCTGATTGATGAGGGACAACCCTGTCGACATGGGAAAGCACTGGTTCAATAGAAGAACGATTCACTGAAACCTGGTTGACATCGGACAGCGCTGTCGACAGTTGACACGGGACAGCAATGGTTTAACTGATGAGCGACCATTGAATACTGGTTGACACAGGACAGCCCTTTTGACATGGGACAGCAATGGTTCAACAGATCAGCGATCATTGAATACTGGTTGACACAGGACAGCCCTTTTGACATGGTACAGGAATGGATCAACAGATGAGCGACCATTGAATACTGGATGACACAGGACGGCCCTTTTGACATGGGATAGCAATGGTTCAACAGATGAGCGATTCATTGACATCATACAGTGACCTGTGAGATAGATTTATCAAACAAAATGTAAGACCCTTCTGAAACAGTGATGCTGAAGACGCTTGCATATATATATTTTCAGCTGGTCACTGCTGCCCACTGCGTCCAGGGACAAGACCCCCGCAACCTGCGTGTGGAGGTGGGTGTTCTGAATCTGTTCGATCCTCCCAACGCCTACGAGCAGACGATTTCAGTTGCCTCTATCCTCATCCACCCCTCCTATAACGAAAATGGCAATGCCTATCCCAATGACATCGCAATTTTGTACCTTAGTGGGCCGGTCACCTACAACAAAAACGTACAGGTAAGCTTAGAGAGTTTAATCTAGAACTCTAGACCAGGTTTCCCAAATTTGGGATGCTGCTCTCCAGTCCTCACCCCCAATTGGGGCGCGAGATGGCATTTCAAGGGGTGCGAGTCAAAGTAATTATATTTATAATAACAGAGGAGTAATGAGTTTTGATTTATGATTTTAATATTTAAATAAGTATATACTTTAAAAAAAATTTCATCAATCTATAAATATAATTCGCCAGAAGAAGAAGGGCAAACAACAAGACGACCACGCAGGTTATATATAGATACGCCATAGCAAGCAAGACGACGCACGAAATCCCTCCCCTCCCTTCCCTTGCCTGCCCATCGTTGGTCTCGAGACATGCGCTTTGCAGTGGAGCAACCGCCCCCCCTCCTCCTGCACCACCCTCACTTGCCAGCCAAGCTCGCGGAGTATGTTAAGCCGCGGGTCGGCGTGAAATAAAAAGTGTGCCGTGACGTATCATGAAAAAAAAAAGGGGGGGGGAAGGGGTGTAGCAAAATTGGCATTCTTAAATGTGCGTAACTTGAGTTCAAGTTTTTGTCAAGTAACTTTAGTATCCACCCTCACTTGCCAGCCAAGCTCGGGGAGTATGTTAAGCCGCGGGTCGGCGTGAAATAAAAAGTGTGCCGTGACGTATCATGAAAAAAAAAAGGGGGGGGGGAAGGGGTGTAGCAAAATTGGCATTCTTAAATGTGCGTAACTTGAGTTCAAGTTTTTGTCAAGTAACTTTAGTAGATGGGAAGTTCACGCATTGCTACCGCCAATGTTTGGCGGGTAATAACGTGTAATAAATTTAACTTGTGAAGGAAAATGTAGACGCAATGCATATTGATAAACACTTTCTTTGATGCATTTGCAAAACTTAGAACACATCAATAGTTCTAAATTAGTTAAGAAAAAGACATTAAATTCCCTCCAACATGTTTTCCGCAATGGTAGCCTGCCGCATTAGCTCCCAAGGGATCAAGTTTCGCCAATGAACAGTGCATCATCACCGGATGGGGGCGAACCATTGGGGGTGGAGCCCCTGCTTCCCACCTCAAGCAAGCCTACATTACCAAGATCACCAGAAGCCAGTGCAACCTTCGATGGGCGCTGTATGGTCAGTTGATCACGGACAAACACATCTGCGTGTATGAGGCTAGCGGTGAGTCAACGCATAGCCATGTTTTATGTTTGTATGAGGCTCGATGTAAGTCAGCATATAGCCATGTTTTATGTTTGTAAGAGTCTGGATGTAAGTCAGCACACAGCAATGTTTTATGTTTGTAAGAGTCTGGATGTAAGTCAGCACACAGCCATGTTTTATGTTTGTAAGAGTCTGGCAGTAACTAACAATAGCCATGTTTTATGTTTGTAAGAGTCTGGCAGTAGCTAACAATAGACTTGTTTTATGTTTGTAAGAGTCTGGCAGTAGCTAACAATAGCCATGTTTTATGTTTGTAAGAGTCTGGCAGTAACTAACAATAGACTTGTTTTATGTTTGTAAGAGTCTGGCAGTAGCTAACAATAGCCATGTTTTATGTTTGTAAGAGTCTGGCAGTAACTAACAATAGCCATGTTTTATGTTTGTAAGAGTCTGGCAGTAGCTAACAATAGCCATGTTTTATGCGCTACCCTCTAATAAAAATTAAAAAAATAAGAATTTTGATTGTGCAGCAGAAAATGACAACTTTGAACTTAAAACAACAAATTGTAATATTGTTGGTATTACAGCATAACATATTTAGATACTCTCATTTAATAATACAATTACAGAACAATTAATAATACAATAAGACAATTTAAAGGAGATTTAATAAGTAACGTAAAGAACAGTTGGGATATTTCATAATCAACTTAAAGAACGAATAAGATTAACGCATCATTTCAACTGACAGATCCAGCAGGAACTCGCCCAAGCGCTTGCCAGGGCGACAGTGGCGGCCCCTTGATGTGTGGCGCCGAGTTTGGACTTCTGGCCGGTGTTACTTCCTGGGGTCTTGCCTCTTGCACCGGTGAGTACCCTCACGTTAAAATATTCGCACGTATCCCGATACTGATCCTCGGTGCACTCTGTCATTGGTATAAACACAACAGAGCATGTCTTCGGACGGGGACAGATTCCTTTAAACAGGACGTATAAAAAATATAAAAAATTTCAAGATACACAAATTCGACAACATATTTAATCATACAGCCTTCTGTCACAAGCTGTGACGCACAGTAAAACAATCTCTTGCATATATTTTGCTTCTGGTGTGTCCTGCTTCCTTTTCACAATCAGCATGCACCCCCTTCTAATTCAACATGGTTTATATTAATAGTTGTCGGTGAAAAAAAAAACAGCCTCTGGTTGAACTCTGGTAAAAAGCTTTGATTTTTCGGAGGTGACTATCATATTAATCAATAAGGAGCGATGGATGTGGTGTAGGACTCTCTGTAGGACTGTCTGTAGGACTATCTGCGGGATTATTGTTTAATGCCGACACGTAGGGTGTAGGACAGACTGTAGGACAATGTTTATAGAAAATAAGAAGTTACTCTTTTTTTTTTTTAACACATGGATCCACCGGGTATTTTCTCAAAACACCCGAACCGGTGTAAAAACTGCACCCGGTTAAGCCCGAGTTACACACAACCTCTTATTTGTCACAGTGTGTTAGCAGGTAACTTCACAAACTACATATTACTTTCAATGATTTAATAGCGTTCTCTGGTTTGTGATATTAAATTCTAGGTAATAAAAATACCCCCCCCAATGGTCTATAAGTCTTCCAGCCAATCCCCCCAATGGTCTATAAGTCTTCCAGCCAATCCCCCCAATGGTCTATAAGTCTTCCAGCCAATCCCCCCCGCAATGGTCTATAAGTCTTCCAGCCAATCCCCCCAATGTTCTATAAGTCTTCCAGCCAATCCCCCCAATGGTCTATAAGTCTTCCAGCCAATCCCCCCAATGGTCTATAAGTCTTCCAGCCAATCCCATCCCCCGCCCCAATGGTCTATAAGTCTTCCAGCCAACCGGAGATGATGTGATACTTTTAGGATCTTCCAATAGAAAATAAATGAAAAAATGCCATGACTTTAGCATCGTGAGTGTTAACAAATTAAATGGCACAGAGGAGTTACAGTAGGTTGTTGTTACAAAGGAATTACAGTTGGTTGTTGTTACAAAGGAGTTACAGTAGGTTGTTGTTACAAAGGAGTTACAGTAGGTTGTTGTTACAAAGGAGTTACAGTAGGTTTTTGTTACATAGAGTTACAGTAGGTTGTTGCTACAAAGGAGTTATAGTAGGTTTTTGTTACATAGGAGTTACAGTAGGTTGTTGTTACAAAGGAGTTACAGTTGGTTGTTGTTACAAAGGAGTTGCAGTAGGTTTTTGTTACATAGGAGTTACAGTCGGTTGTTGTTACAAAGGAGTTACAGTAGGTTTTTGTTACATAGGAGTTACAGTAGGTTGTTGTTACATAGGAGTTACAGTAGGTTGTTGTTACAAAGGAGTTACAGTTGGTTGTTGTTACAAAGGAGTTGCAGTAGGTTGTTGTTACAAAGGAGTTACAGTAGGTTCTTGTTACAAAGGAGTTACAGTTGGTTGTTGTTACAAAGAGTTGCAGTAGGTTGTTGCTACAAAGGAGTTACAGTAGGTTTTTGTTACATAGGAGTTACAGTAGGTTGTTGTTACAAAGGAGTTACAGTTGGTTGTTGTTACAAAGGAGTTAAAGTAGGTTGTTGTTACAAAAGAGTTGCAGTAGGTTGTTGCTACAAAGGAGTTACAGTAGGTTTTTGTTACATAGAGTTACAGTAGGTTGTTGCTACAAAGGAGTTATAGTAGGTTTTTGTTACATAGGAGTTACAGTAGGTTGTTGTTACAAAGGAGTTACAGTTGGTTGTTGTTACAAAGGAGTTGCAGTAGGTTTTTGTTACATAGGAGTTACAGTCGGTTGTTGTTACAAAGGAGTTACAGTAGGTTTTTGTTACATAGGAGTTACAGTAGGTTGTTGTTACATAGGAGTTACAGTAGGTTGTTGTTACAAAGGAGTTACAGTTGGTTGTTGTTACAAAGGAGTTGCAGTAGGTTGTTGTTACAAAGGAGTTGCAGTAGGTTGTTGTTACAAAGGAGTTACAGTAGGTTCTTGTTACAAAGGAGTTACAGTAGGTTTTTGTTACATAGGAGTTACAGTAGGTTGTTGTTACAAAGGAGTTACAGTTGGTTGTTGTTACAAAGGAGTTACAGTAGGTTGTTGTTACAAAGGAGTTACAGTAGGTTTTTGTTACAAAGGAGTTACAGTAGGTGGTGGTTACAAAGGAGTTACAGTAGGTGGTGGTTACAAAGGAGTTACAGTAGGTTGTCGTTCCAAAGCAGTTACAGTAGGTGTTGGTTGTTAGGATGTTTAGAGGATAGATGTGTATATGAAATAATGTTTCGCCTTACCACAAAACATATACACGAAAAGAGCCTTTCATTTCCTATAAATATTACAAAATAGACTGGGTTTTTTGTTATTCCACACGTTCCTAATGGCTTCTCTTCTTTGTCTCGCAGGGGACATGCCCAGTGTCTACACTCGTGTGTCCGAGTACGCGGACTGGGTGGCCGCCAACTGATGACCCTCACTTGGCCTGGGGACTCGTCTGGCGATCCTCGTCTCGTGCTCCCCATCCAGCACTCAACGTCACTGACAAAACCAAAAAACAATTAAAAGAAAATGAAATAGTATCGTGTTCTTTGTGTGTATACCATGAAGTACTTTATAGATAGAAATTTCTTATTCTTAAATATTTGTAATAGAATTTGTTTTAAATGTTTATTCATTAAAAAAAAAAAAAAAAACTTAAGGAAACAAAAAAAGTTGTAATTTCCGTATTTCGACGATAGATTAAGGTGCAAACCAAAGCTTAGCCAATACGTGTGTTTTAATAATCAGAGTTTTCTTATTCTTAAAAATTTGTAATAGAATTTGTTTTAAATTTTTATTCATTAAAAAAAAAAAAAAAAACTTAAGGAAACAAAAAAAGTTGTAATTTCCGTATTTCGACGATAGATTAAGGTGCAAACCAAAGCTTAGCCAATACGTGTGTTTTAATAATCAGAGATCTCATTTTTGTTTCATTATTTCCACTTAACAGGCTGAAATTTTTAAGGCAAAAAAAAAAAAAAAGGAAGAAAGAGTACCAATAACTTTATAGTAAGACTTTTTTTCAAAGACTAGTTCTAAACAGTAGAAAACAATTTTACATTTCTTAAAATGCATTGCGCAAAGAAAGTCTGTGCAGAGAAAGTCTGTGCAAATAAAGTCTGTGCAAAGAAAATGTGTGCAAAGAAAGTCTGTGCAAAGAAAGTCTGTGCAAAGAAAGTTTGTGCAAAGAAAAGTCTGTGCAAAGAAAGTCTGTGCAGAGAAAGTCTGTGCAAGGAAAGTTTAGGCAGAAGGGTTGTGATGAAACGTTAATAACTTTTTAATATTAATTAATTTTTGAAAATATTTGTCTGCACGGACTTCGTTTGCAGAGTTTAATTTTAAAAATGAAGTCTCCCTTGTCTTTTAAGAATTAATTTTTTTTTTATAACATGAAGCAGACGAATTGAGTTTTTATGGGATGTCTTGTAACTCGAACTATTAAGGCTGTTATTTTTTTTTTTTTTTTTTTTTTTCTTTTTTTTTTTATTTTTTTTTTATTTAATTTTTTTTTT